CAAAGTTTTGGCCCAAGCGAGGGTGCACGGGGGCATCATTTGAGTTCACTGCCTCAGGTGCCAAAATGTTGTGGGCCAGCCCTGTATGACGGTGTCATGATTAGGGACATTAAATTGTGCATAATTAGCTAATCGAACAGTCGATGGAATTTCCATCAACTACTCAATTAGTCGATAAGGGAAGGACACTCGCTACCCCCACTGTGGCTCTGAATTTAAATGTAGTAAGAGGCAGCGGGGACTAAGCCTTCCTGGCTCATGCTGGCTCCGGGACCACTGAAGTTCTGCTTCTCTTTCCCCCTCCCTATGCCTGCACCAAGAAGACAGTGCTGGGGGGAACTGGCTTTTAAGCCGGCTCCCCCCCGGCACTGGTTCCTGCTTCCCCTCCCCCTTGCTGTCTCTCACACTGAGGCAGCGAGAGGGGATAGGGGAAGCAGGTAGTTGTCTCAACTACCTGCTAAGCATAGACTTATCGGGTAGTCAGCTACTCCTTTACATCCTTAGTCATAATGCCAACAGACAGACACAGGCCCTAGCCTGAGCCCACAAAACTCATTTTGCTAGTGAAGGGATTTCCCCTTTGAATCCCGGTACGGACTAGTGGTACTGGGCTGGGTGCAACCTGGCTTCTCCTCCACCTTGGGCACAGGCATGCTAGGCGATCTTGGGCAAATCACTTCCCCTTTCTGTGCCTCGGTTTCCCCATTTGTCAAATGAGGAGAATAAGCCTGACCCACTTTGTAAAGCATTTTGAGATCTACCGATGGTACATGCTGTCGATGACCTAGGCTGTACTGCCTGGAGTCCAATCCACTCCGGTGTAGAGTCCAATCCAGCCGTGTGCAATGCATGTCTCCCAGTCTTCTGCTTGTTAGGCTCCTCTTGGAGCACAGGGATTTCTAGGAACACACCTTCCTCATTTCAGGAACAAAACTTATGTTAACGTCCATGGGTGCAGGATCACCCTCTGCACGGGGGCAGGTGATCCCTAGTGGGTAGAACATGACAAAGGATTTCAGGGCCCCTGCGTTATATTCCTGGCTTTTCTGCATGACCTTGGCCAGTTGTTTCATCTCCCGCTCTGACCATGAGACCTTGAGGGGGGATATGATAGAGGTCTATAAAATCATGAGTGGTGTGGAGAGGGCTGATAAAGAAAAGTTATTTATTAGTTCCCATAATAGAAGAACTAGAGGACACCAAATGAAATTAATGGGTAGCAGGTTTAAAACTAATAAAAGGAAGTTCTTCTTCACACAGCGTGTTGTCAACCTGTGGAACTCCTTGCCAGAGGAGGCTGTGAAGGCTAGGACTATAATAGTGTCGGTAGACAGGATACTGGGCTAGATGGACCTTTGGTCTGACCCAGTATGGCCGTTCTTATGTTCTTATGTTCTTATGACCTTGGTATCCACTCCTCAGAGATACAGACCCAGGTTCAGGCAAGGGTCTAAAATGACAACATGATGAATAGAGCTGATCTAATCAAACCACGAGGAACAGGGTGCTGGGTGGTATCTAAGTGGCGTCAGACGGTGGCAACCTGATATGTCAGCAATGAAGTGTGATTTATTTGTACCTGTATATAAAGTGGCATCCTGGGGAGACAGTCTTTGAATGACCTAGAGGGCAGTGAAAATTTCCCCCTGATTGAGTCATTCCATTGTTACGGGATACATATGCGTAGAGGTTCAGTAGAGTCTACTGACAACAATTACTGTACTTTGCTTAACAATAAACCTGGCCAGGCACCTTCGATCCTTATCTGGTTTGTGGTCTTTGGGGGCTCTCTTGGGGTCTGCTGTGGAGACTTAGTGCACAAATTGACATGGCACACATCACTGAGCACGCTCGCAAGCAGCCTTCTGGTTATCATCATCGACAGAGCCAGAGACCTGTGAGGACACCTCAGCAGTAAATCCCGACAACCTCCTGAATAACTGCACTTCTCAGGTTTTCTTTCTTCTAAACTTTTTCTCTCTCAGGTTATCCATGAATAACACTACAGACTTGAGTCCTAGTTTATAGTTGTAAAGCCCTCACTGGATAACCTCTAAGGTGCCATTTCTGAGGTACAAAAAATTGGGTCTCTGATATTATCCTTAGCCCATTAAACATCTTAGAGGGGTAGCTGTGTTAGTCTGGGTCTGCAAAAACAATGAGGAGTCCTATGGAACCTCAATGACCAACAGATTTATTTGGGTATAAACTTTTGTGGGTAAAACCATTTTTTTCAGATGCATGGAATAGATATCACAGAGGTAGGGATATATATACATACTACAGGCTAAACCTCCCAAATCCGGGACCCTCTGGTACGGCAACATTCGTGGTCCGGCATGGATGTTTCTGAACCAAACAACCCAAGGAGCGGGAACTAGCCGAGAGAACACAGGGGTTTGCAGAGTCCTGGCTGGGCCAGCAGCAACTAGGCAGGGAAACCTCAGCAGGGCCAGGCAGCGTCAGGGAGCCTCCTCCCTGGCCAGGGAATCCTGCGATCAGTGGGATTAAGTGGCTGGAGAGCCCTTGGCAGCGAGAAAACCTCGAGGAACCACTGGGGGCAGCAGGGTTGGCAGCAGCCAAGTGGCCCTGTTTGGGCAATTCCTGGAATCCCCAGTGCAGCCAGTGGGCAGCAGGATGGGGAGCACTGGCTGGGCCAACTTTAGTGGGGAAGTACACATTTGCAGACACATTTGAAAGAATGTGAAATTGCTGAGCTGGTGGAAATCTCTGGGGTGACTGAAAGCTCCTGTATTCACACTCTGCACCCATTGCAATCCTCTTTGTACCAAATTTTGGCTTGTAAGTTTTCATTTGGACACTAATACCTGGCTGGTCAATAATATCAGGGCGAGATGCATGTAGGAACATTAAAGAAACCATGTAAGTACACACTGAAATCATGACTGAAGTGTGTGTATACCACACAAGTCTGGGAGTGGATAAATAGGGTTGCCAGGTGTCTGGTATTGACCTGGACAGTCCGGTATTTTCGCTTCCTGTCTGGTAAAAAAAAATGCAGAAAATACCGGACACCTAAAATGTCCAGTATTTTCTGTTTTTTTCCCCTGCCAGGAGGCAAAAATACCGGACACCTGGCAACCCTACGACACACTCGGCAACTGGGCCCAGCCCCTGGCCTCCCCCTGGACCTCTGACACCCTCCAACCCCTTCCACTCCCCGCTTACCTGGTTCCGCAGGGAAGCTGCATTGTGGCTTGATTTAAAAAAAAGCAAAATGGCCATCGGCAAAAAGCCCAAAGACCAAGGGGAAGCAATGCCTTCCCTGTGTCTTAATGCTCAACCTCTCCCCTGTTCCTATCCCTATTCTGAGACTGCACTCACTGAAAAGGACCATGCTGTTTTAATGCTGTTTTATTTTATTTTATTTTATTTTTGCGCAACAACTTTGGTCTCCCCTCCCCCCCCGAACAGAATTTTTTCCCTGTTTTTGGGGGAGGGGGGGGAGGTCAGTATTTTTGGCTAAACCATCTGGCAACCCTATGGATAAACCTGTTTCTCAAAGATAAAGGACAAGTAAATGCTTCTAGCCAGATGTCAGCAAAATGTCTGGTGCCCTGTCTCTGGTGAGGAAAGGGTGCAGGAACAAACAGAGCTGCATAACAAGCAATAGCATGAAACCTCGTTCATTTCACCACACCTGTCTCTGGTCCTACTAGCAGGAATAGAATTTATCT